GGGGGGGGGGGTGGCCGGGTGGGTGTGTGGGCTCCAGCCCCCTCAGCAGCCGCCAGCTCTTGCTGTGCCCTGAGGTGGTGTTTGCCCCAGCAAAGAGCCTGCAGGTCTGCGGTAGGACCAAGAGGTGAGCTCAGAGGCTAAAGAAAGCTTTTGGGTTTTGCTAAACGGATTGCTTTGTGAGAAGGGAGCTGGTGTTCTGCAAGGGCTGGGGACTACGTGTGGTTATGAAACGTGAAAGCCCGAGTCAGAGGTCACGCGACAAACAGAGCGGGTAAAACCCTCCCCTTTCCTCTTTTTGCAATGCTTCAAGTCACCCGCTACGCTTTTCCCAGCACAACCTATGCTGCCCGCTGAGCCTGGCTCCGTCCTAAGCTTAAGAAGGTGCTTGTGGCCTTTTTGACCTATTTTTCCGCTGTGATGCCCCTCCTCACCCGCCCTGGTTTGAGGTTACACGCGTGGTTTTGTGTCCCTCCCCCCCAAAAGAGCAGGCTCGTGTCCCAGGTCTTCGTGCCGCTTATCCCGGTACGGCGGGTATGGTTCTTGAGTAGATGAAGGACACCTGCTAATGAGCAACCATGGAACTTTGCCTTTCAAAGCATCGCTGAGGGCGGCTGGGCCTCCCTGAAGGCGCTTTGAGCTCATCGCAGCGAGCCAAGCTCTTAACGTGCTGTTGGTCACCCGGTGCTTATTTACCTGCGTTTAATTCCTTTTGAGCTGGTGCAAATCTTTGATTTCTACGTGGTGGGGCTTCTCTTTGAGGCGAGATGGAGGCACCTCAGACACAAGGAACTTTTATTTCCACCCTTATTCCACCTTAGACTTTTATTTCCACCTTTATTCCACCTTAGACTTTTATTTCCACCCTTATTCCCCCTTAGACTTTTATTTCCACCCTTATTCCCCCTTAGTCGTTTCTTGACATATGTGGTACATGAATGAACTGGAGATTACTGCAGCGTGTCTGAGCCAGGGTGATATTGGAGTCGTCAGACCTACTTAGAAGTTACTATTTTTAGTACTGCCCCCTGCCCTCATTACGTGTTTGACCAGGTAGCTGTTAGCTCTGTCTAAGGACAGTCAGCGCTCTCCCAGTTTCTTCTTTCACGCCTTAGCTGCTGATGTCCTTCTGCTGACTTTGCTTGGAAAGAAACAGATTAACCCCCCACACACACACCAAAAGTGCCTTCAGAAGCACGATGGCAACCAGCGGGCTCAGCCCAGGAGTCCCGCTCAGAGATCTTCCTTCTGCAAGACGCTCCTCGTCTGCTCCTGCTCCTCCTCCTTCGGCATCTGGGCTTCGCCGCTGTCGTGGTGGATGTTGCTCGCGGCCCTGATGGCCGACTTCATGGAGGTTTCGATCCAGGCGTGAGGCTGGGCTGTGTGTTCCCCTGCGAAGTGCACCCTGCCCTCGTGCTCGAAGAGAGCCTGCGAGTAGTCGGTGAACTGGTAAGGGGTGAAGGACGAGAATGCCCCCAGGGCGTGTTTGTCCAGCTGCCACTTCTCGATCACGTACTGGTCGCAGGTGTACTGCAGGTAGTCCTTGCTCGCCTGGTGGATGTCTGACAGGTCTTGGAAGATGGCATCCAGGTACTGCTCATCCGTGAGAGGCAGGAAAAAATCGGCGTCATCGTTCCAGGTGTAGGAAGCCAGGATCACGCCCACCCCGCTGGAGAAGTTGTGGCTGGGGTAGTAGATAAAGCGGGAAGGGCGGTCGGTGATGGACTGCCCTCCTCGGATGCCGTCCTTCTCCCAGAACTTCTCGGTGCAAGCCAAGGCTATTTTGGAGCTGCCCGCGTAGTGGACGGAGCGCAGGGCTTGGGTCTTTGGAGAAGAGAGCGGTGGCAGGAATTGGATGTGCCTGGTGGCTTTGGCGGTGGATGTGACAAGGACGTAATCTGCAGTGACTACGGTTGGGACCAGAGTGTCCGGAGCGCGGTAAAACACACGGACTTTGTTTCCCTTGGTCATGATTTTCTCCACCGTGGAATTGAACTGGATGACGTTGGGCAACGCCTTGTGGAAGGCTTCGGGGAGCTGATCGAATCCTCCTGTGATTTCGTCAAACCTGAAAGGAAGAAGCAGCAGGAGGTGAGGGAAGGACCTTGGGGTTTGGGAACTGTAAAACATGACCTCTTCTAGAGATGCTAATGGAGCTTGGTGGCCCTTTGAGTCAGGAGCGATTCACATTCAGACAGCTAAATGCCACCGAAATTTCCTCTTCCGGTGGATTGCCGTGGGGCAGCACGAAACAGGGCTTGCCATAAGAGCCATCGTCTCACCTCTCGTTAGAGAAGACATCGAAATCCCACAGTGAGGCGAGGAAGGACAGATAAAATCCAGAGTCCTCGTTCAACAAGTCACCGATCATCTGAACTGCTCCTCGGCTTAGATTTCCTACTTTAATCAAGTACTCCTAGAAAAGCCGGGAAGAAGACGTAGCCTGCTGTTATTATCTCGGTTAGTGCGTGTATCCCCTTTATATCCCAAGCCAGAAACTCATGCCCTGCTGCCTTGTTCCTGCTCCTAATCTGCTTAAACCCTGGACCAGAGGCTGTTTTTTTTTATGCAGCTCTAACTTGCAGAAGATCAATGTCCCCTCTGGTTTAGCATGGCTGAAGTTCTGGAGAAGAATGAAGAAAAGGATTTGTGCCTTGGTGTCCCCACTCTGAGACAGCTGGATCACACGAAAATGCAGTGGCTTGCTCAGTAAATCCACCCCAGTGCTTGATACTTAAGCAAGTCTGACCAAGAGACCCTGGATGGAGGATCATGTCTAACCTGGAGGAGTTTCCAGAGCACTTCCAACCACCACTGCTTCTCGCTCATTACCAAGTGATGAGACTGCTCTAACCCCTCTGTCAGAGTCACGCTTGCTCTTTTCTCAGCATTTGAAGCAGAAGGCAGCAACGATCAGGGAAAAGGCATCCAAGAGTGTTGACAGGGGGGGACTTGGATTGACTCAGACCCTCTCTGGAAGCAGGGGTGGCCGGTTAACAACCAGCAGCAGGGATTAAATCTACTCTCAAGCCCCAGCCCCTTACCTTGGTGGAGAAGGAATCGTATTTATCTAGGTATTTCTTGCAGTCTGTGGTCTGGAACTCATTGAAAGCCTGGAGAAGAAACATTGATTACATTCACGAGAAGAAGCGCGTTCCCCAAGGCCTTGCCCCGAATTCTGTTAGGATTCACCAGGGCTATTCAGTCTTGGGGTTTGGTAACCCCTGGAGCTGAGCTGGAGCTGGTGGATCCTGCTGCTTGGACCTTGAGTTTCGGGAGGTCAAGCCTCGGTGTGGCATTTTCTGGTTCGTCCAAGTCTTAAATCTGTTCTA